TGGGTGTTTTCAAAATGCATTTTCCCGGTACGGCATTCCGCCAGGGGCACGCGGTGGCTGCTAGTGGAGGACTAATCGTGGCATCATTGCTGGTGATTGTGTCGGCCAAAAAACTCCGTGTGAACGGATACGCCGATCTTGCGCGCCGCCTTTGACTGCCGTGGTGTGACGGCGTTGAAACCCTTACAATCCCGTGCGGTAGCTGCATGCTTGTCCACTCGCCTGTTCCCACTTCCCCCGCCTTCCTTCCTGTTGGAAAGATCACTGCCGCGGACGAATGGTGCAGCTCTAATGGGTCTGAAGAAACGCGTGGAGCCCAGTTTGGGCGGCGGAGAAGTGCGCCGAAACGTAATAAAAACTAAGCACACACGCAAGAGAAGAAGAAAAAAAAAAAAAAAAAAGAAAAGAAAAGTGGTAATGAAGTGCGAGTGAAATCATTTGAAAGTAAATCCACTCAACGCAGCATGAAATGACAACAACACCAAATTCAAGACAAACGAGGGACATTTATGCGGCCCTCTGAATATGCGGTGGTGGAAAAAAACTTCAGGGTACGGCATCGCTGCACACGCATACATAAAGAAGAACATCCCCACCATGCACGCAGCCAAGCGCATGGTCAGAAACAACAGCAAATGAGCATGGAATAACAAATGTGTAGCCGCATTAAAAGGGAACGAAATAAATAAACGTCACCAAAAAAAAAAAACATTTATTTATATTTCTTTCCTTCTTCCAGTTGATACCCGTCCTACAAAATAAATGGAGAAACAATTCAACTTCTATTTTCTTTGATTTCACACACACAAACACACACGCAGTACTTCATTTCCTTTCCTTATGGCCGTTTTGGTTCCGTTCAGTGTTCCCCTGCGTAATAATAATCCCCCGCCCCCTTTTTTTTTTGTCACTTTTATTTTCTTTTTCGTTTTCCTTCTCTTTTTTTTTTTTGCTTTTCTTGTTGTTGTTGCTCTACTCCCCGCTCTGCCTCTGCTTTTGCCGCTTTACCCACGCCCCTCTCGCTATTGACCGTCCCTTGCATGAACACACGCATCCATCGCCATGGATCTCCTCCCAAATTGGAGGTTCCACCACTTTTTTTTTTTTTTTTTTTCCCACACCAACAGCACCACAACAACACACAAAAACGCCCACACGCACCTCCCCACACACTACGAGAGGAAATCACACAACCGGCACGCCACACGCACCAAAGAAAAATGCAAAAAAAAAGGTTTGGTCCTTATTTGCCGGCAGCATCCCTCTCAGTCGACTTTAATGCTCGCGTATATTGTGCGTACAAAACATATGCCAGAAGTGAGTCCAATCGCCCCTGCTGCAAGGCCGTATGCGCATGAAAGCAGCCCCATGTACATAAAATACAGTAGCGATGAGGCAAACGAGCTGATTGCGAGCTGCGTGCGGTAGAAGTAGATCGAGTACACAAAAACATGTATTCCTAGTCCTCCCGAGAGAATAAAACTGATCCACCACCACTGATGGTTCTCGTAACACAAGACGTAGTAAAGGTGGAAAACCGTCATGAGGGCTGTAATGGCGATCCAAAGAAGAAAAACCAGCGCAAGAAAACCGAACACGTAATACACCTGGCCGGCCCACAGCGCCTGCAGTACGAAATTCAACTCCAAGATGATTGTAGAAAGAGGAAAGATGGGAGGAATGACGTACAGAAACGAGGGACTGTTTGCCCACATCTGCGGTGGGATCTCACGCGCCAGACGGCCTACTCTCACAGGGTTTGCAGGTGGGTCCTGCCTAAACGAGAAGGAGGCGCCCAAAAAGGTCAGTGGCAGACTGATCAGCATCCACAGCAAGAAAATGGTGAAAAGGACGGAGAAGGATACGGTGTCTGTGGAGCCGTGAGCCCAATTGATCATGTTCGCAAAGGCGTAGACACCAAAAACAGTCCCAGGGAATGCACAACCGCAGAAGAACACGTGCTTCCATTCACGACGATTAAAATATTTAAGCAGGAACCCACATACGTATCCAGCCACAGTGGACATAAACACAAAGAGAATGATGATGGCAGTCAAAAGAGCACCACGTCGTGCAGGGGAAAGAAAACCCAACAGCGCAAAGAGCAACACACCGGTGAACATGGATAACACCTGGAAACCAGTACCCGTGAGTGAGGCCAGCAGTGGTGCTCGATCTGGGGGACGGAACACGTCGGCATGTACGAGTTTCCAACCAGTCTCCTCCTGATTATCCTCAGGATCAAGGGAATTGTAACGGTTAAAATCTTTGTGTAAGGCACGCATCAATACCGTGGCGACGGAGGTGGCGCACAAGATAACTATCAGCAAGCTACCGCAAACGTAAATCCAATGAAAACTAGCACTAGTATCCGCAATTGAGCTATGAAGGTAGGCGTCCCAACGTGTTGCCCAAATAACATTGGAAGGCTGCCATGTGACACTGTACGTCCAATACACCGTTGTACCCTCACGCACATCATCTGTGCTGAGGAAGTTCATCTCACCCCGCCGGAATACCAGGGCCTCACTACAGCTATTTCCATCTATATCGTGCTTAATGCTGTGGGGAGTAACCCTTAGACCGACAACCATGAACTTTTCGTTGTCCCTTGGAGCGGTGTTGTAGTCAATGACAAAATCCAGGTGATTGTTGATAAGTGTCTTGCCCGCGCACTGACGTGGGACACCGATGGGGTAGCCGCGATAATAGTTGTACTGCGTGTCTTTTGATTGAAACCTACAGGAAGCAAGATATTCGGGCAGCCCATCCCCAAAGACGGGAAGATTATCAACGTTCATAAAGCCTCGGTAGCCTTTTTCAATGTACTTCTCCAGCTTATCAATATTATTCCTGATGTTGCGATTGTTAGCCACCACGTCGCAATCGGGGAGTTTTGTGCAGGTTGAGTTTTTCTTCATATCCACCGAGTAAAGAGAGTTCTGTATGCGGTCTCCCCATATAACCTCCCCAAGGGCCTCTGGCTTCGTCTTGATGAACACGGGCGCACAAAAGGGCAGATTGTAGTAGCCCTGTGGAAACAACTCCTTCAAGGAGCGGAGGGAATTCACCATAAATGGCACAGTCTCGCCCTCGCTGTAGTACTTGGGCTGCATGCCCGGAATGTAAAAGGCATCCGCAACAAACGGCGAGAACAACACGGCGGCCACAGCAAGAAGAAAAAATGACACGGCAGAAGAAGTGCGCATCTATAATAATAATAATAATAATAATAATCAAACAAACAAAAAAGAATTTTACCCCCTCGAGAGGATTTCTCTCGCTGTACTATTCCTTCTTCAACGCTCGCCTTCCCTTTCCCCAATATGCCTCTTTTCTTCTATCCTGTTTGTTAATTGTTTCTCGTGTGACTGTTGTTAGTATTTATCAATATTATTCGAAGTGGTATTACTGATATCAGTATAGAGCTTGCTTGTCAGTTCTTACCAATTCAGTGCTGCTACTACTATTTCATTCAGTGGTATGCGGCGGTGCCACAGCGCAGGAAGAGAAAAACAGCCCAGGAGAGAATCCACGCAGGCAAGCGATTGTGCGTGAGAGTGGATGCCAGACAATTCCAAAGGGAAAGAGAGAGAGAGAGTGTGTGTGCTTTTCTGTCTTTCCATATATTTGTGCGTCATTCCTCGTTCGATATCTTTTTAGGGACCGCACACGCCCTCCTTTCTTGTTCACACACACACAAACAAACAAACAAAAGGAAGTAGCAAGGATAAGCGTCTACACACGGCTACCATCACAACCAAAAAGCACGGCTGCCACGACTATTGCCGCCGCTTCCTGGCGCTGCCTGGGCCCATCAACACCGCCTCTGTCACCGCGGACGGTGACGAGCAGCCGTTCGAGAAGGAACATCCGTCCACATCCACCCCGTTTGCTTCCGCCGCAGCTCCCAACGTTGCCATCATCACATCACCATCGCCACCACCAGCCAAGTTACTGACGTTACAAATACCGCCACTACCGCCAACTGCTACTGCTGGAGCCGTGGGCAGCGGGAAGAAGATGTCCTGCAGCTCACGCCGCCCACACAAGAGGAAGGTCAAGCCATACAAAACGCAAAAACCCGTGAGAACCGACACCCACCACGCGAACCCGCCTCCTGTCAGTCGCCAACTTGCAAGGCAACAAAAAACGTAGTACATCGCATACAATGTGAAGATGAAGTCCAGCGCAAACTTGCGACGCTGAATCGTGAGAGCAAGCGGACCTGAAAAAAAGCATGCGGTCAACAAGTGCATAAGAAAGAAGCGCATGGCGGAGCCGTCGGAAACATCTTCCACTCTCACGGCAAAAAGAGAACGGAGAGGCACATGAAAGCAGTACCCCAATGAGGTGAAGAGTGGGACGGAGAGAGCGCTGCTGTCAATGAAAGTCAGTGAAAGAACACCAAGCACAACGCGCACGACGCCAAGCATGATAAAAAACATGCTCAGGGTATACAAAATCTGAAGAAACACAAACTTTGGATCACTAAGAGGCGCCCCCAGTGGAATCGGCATCTTGCCCTTGTCTTTTTTTTTGTTCCGCTCCTGCTTTTTTGTCGCCACCTCACTTGCTCGAGTGTTTTTGCCCAACCGCTATGCCACGCCCAAGAATGGGGTGGGGGCCCTCCAGTGGAGCTCGGAGTGTCCTCTACCTTCTGTTGTTACCACTACTACTATTATTGGTATTGTTATTTTGTTTTTTCTCCCTTGTTTGGCCGCTACCGGACCCACACCGCACACCTGCACACTTCATGTAATGGAACAGAAAGTAGCAGAGGCGACCAAAAAGGGGGTAGCGTAAGTGACACACACACAACAACAACAACAACAACAACAAAGCCGCGAAAAAAAAAAAGCCGCAATATCCATCATTTTTTCTTTATCCTTTTTCTGGTCATCTGAATTTCCCTCGGAGATCTCTCCCCTCTCCCCTCTCCCCTGCCCATCCAACTGCTGTCACTCAGCAACGTATTACAACACGCTCTCCCTCTTTCCTCAGTCCAGCAGCTCTGCCTGCAGAACATTTGCCAAGGAGTGCTCCGACACCAGCAGTTTGTCTACGATATCTTGTGTGTCAACAGGCAGCGGCTTCAGCACTGCCCAATGATCCTTCAAAGTGAGACGTAATTCGGTTATAGTAGCGAGTGACTCCGTGGATTTCATCACAACAGGTATGAATCCGTCCACAATCGCCATATTCGGCACATCGTCCGGGATAACCAACATTCTTGACTCATCACAAGGCGCACTAGCCAGTAGCAGCCCACACGGCGGAACAAACGTTCCCAACATGGGCAGTTCTTCTCCTTCCCCAGCGGAAGCGCCATCAAACGCACAAAACCACGGAAATGAAGAATGGCATGGTGACAGGGATGAGGATGCGGGGTCGGAAGAGGCATTACAGGACTTTGCCAAGTTGGGTGGCACGGCAATCTGTGCAGTGCGCTGACGATCCCTTGACTCCACAGTTATCAGGCGGAGTACGCCGTCGGCAGCAACCTTTTTCTGTATGAACGCCCTTGGAAATGTGGCGAAGGAAACAGCAAGGCGCAGGCGCCCCTCATCCTTTTTTCCCCATCCCTCCTGCAAGGGACCCCATGTCCCCTCTGAAACCACGCAAGAA